CGATTCACTTTGCATGTGGCAGCCAGGCACATTGCTTGGTGCGAAAGTTCCAAAGGTAGATGAAGTTCTGGTCGGAACCTTGGATAGTCGGCACGAGCACACACAAAAGGCTATTGGTAATGGTAAACTACACCGGAAAAAAAGGCAATGTGCCAAAAGAGAAGAGAAAAGGCCTGTCTATTCAGCACCCTCAACGGAAACTTTCACCTGACATCCAATCCTTGCAAACTTGAAAGTAAGGAAAACAGAATGCAGCTGCATCCAAAATGCGTGACTGCACAGCCAGCCAATCTGGCCCCAAAGCTCGAGCCAACTCCCGTGGCATAGTTGGTGACAGCGCAGGCCTCATCGTCGGCTCCACAGGCTCCGGCGACAGCACCTGCTCCATGGGACTCGCGTGCGCTCGCTCAACCTGCGTGGCCACACTCTGCGCCGAAGCCGAGCGTAGAATAGGCCGCGGCTGCGGCTGGAAGTACGGGTGGCTCGATCTGTGTTCTTAGTTCGCACTGTCATGGCTCACATTTCGCGGGCATGCAATCCAACCGTCTTGACACAACGCTGTGTGTCAAAGTCACCACGACAGCAAACCAGAAAGGGCGCAGTTAGGTTGCGCATTCTAGGTTGAAACCGCCTGGTGTTCCCCACAAACGTATCTCAAACAGGGGGGGTTTCATTACGTGCAAAACAAGGTAGGAACTCACTAAGTCTCTGTGACTCCCTATCGGTCCTTGCACCTGGGGCACACCATGCCTCATGCCTGGAAAAAAACAAGAACTGACGATTCGTGTGGAAATCCAGGCACCTCTCGGAAATAGCCTCTGAAATTCCCAACAAACAGATAACACTATTTTTGCACACGGCTTGTCATAGACGCCCGATATGTTTCGTGCGTTTCTTGGGAACCACAAGGCTGAGGCTGCCTTGATTTAGGAGCTTCCATACCAGGCCACTTGGAGGGAGCGGCGCCCACGCAACCCCACGAGGCTGCACGATGTGCGCCCCCGCAACCCGAGGCTGCACGATCCGTGGCCGTGGGGGAATCACGGACATGGCTGCCCCGCTGAGCGCTCTAAGTCCAGAGCCCAAAATCTTTTCAGAGAAGAGCCAACCAACGGAACGACTTTCCATTCTATGACATCATTCTCTTCCCTGGAACAGGTTCCTAAAGAAATATGAAAGGGATTCGACACACATTGCGCCAAAAACCCCTCCTGCGATTGGAAACAACATCGACATCCATCGAACACGGAAGAAGAAAAAACTGCATGTCAGGACAGACCCACAAACCAGTGAATGATAACTCTTCATATCCCTCTAGTTCCTTGAGAAATCTAGAGGATGTCCGGGACCTCGCAAGCTGCCCGTTGCTGCTTGTATTCGAACCACTGAAGTTCATGAACTGAGTTGCTGGAATGATTCGTATGCTTGAACACCATGGGGTCTGAACTTACAAGTTCGACTGACCAGGGTGGGAAGCCGAATTAAGACCTACCTATTCCTATCCCTGTATTTACTGGAGCCTAACTAAGACGCACATATTCCTACCCCGCCAAGTACTTGGGTATAGCTACAACTAAGATCTATCTATTACTATCCCTCCAAGTACTCGAGCCTAGCTAAGATCTGTCTGCTCCCACTCCTGCAATTGTGTGAGCGCAACTGGGATTTATCGATTCCTATCCCCCGACTTGCTTGAGCGATCTAGAGGATGTCCGGGACCTTGCAAGCTGCGTTGCTGTTTGTACTCGGACCGAAACCGATGAACTGGTGTGCTGAAATGTATATAATGATTGGACAACATAGGGTCTGAATTCACCAGTTATATTATTTAAATAGGAAGCCTAGCTAAGATCTACCTATTCCTATCGAGCCTAACTAAGATCTATCTATTGCAAAAGTAAAGTAAATTAATTGACCTATTGAAGATATTGAAATTGGCAAATGGGGACTTGAAAATATAGCTCGCACGCTACGCGGTGCTGTTTGTATTCGAACCACTGAAGTTCATGAACTGAGTTGCTGCAATGATTTGTGTGCTTGAACACAATGGTGCCTAAACTTACAAGTTCTACCTACCTATTCCTATCCCTCTATTTACTGGAGCCCAACTAAGATGCACATATTCCTACCCCGCCAAGTACTTGAGTATAACTACAATCTTGCTATTGGAAGCCTAACTAAGATCTATGTATTATTATCCCTCCAAGTACTGAAGCCTAACGAAGATCTGTTTGTTCCAATTCCTGCAATTGTGTGAGCGCAACTGGGATTTATCGATTCCTATCCCCCGACTTGCTTGAGCGATCTAGAGGATGTCCGGGACCTTGCAAGCTGCGTTGCTGTTTGTACTCGGACCGAAACCGATGAACTGGTGTGCTGAAATGCATAAAAAGATTGTACAACATAGGGTCTGAATGCTCCAGTTACATTAATTCGAATCGGGCAGCTCCAGCGGCACCTGGCCACCATTTCACTAGTTCAAATAATTCAAATATGAGAAAAATACTTAAATGATTCAATTTTATTTACATTATTTGAGCTAATTGAATTCGAAAAGTGGGTTTGCCAATGTAAAAATTCCAAATTAATTAACTTATCTATACTGATTCAAAGCAGTAAATTACTTTTAAATTATGCATATTATTTAAATGGGGTCATTAAATATTTTAATTAATTTAAATTTAGTTGAATTGGCCAACCCTCCTTTTCCAATTCAACTAATTTAACTAATTTAAATAATTTAAATAATTTAAATAATTTCAATATTTTAATTAATTTAAATTATTTGAATTGGCAAACCACCCTTTTCCAATTCAAATAATTTAAATAATTTAAATAATTTAAATATTTTAATTAATTGAAATCATTTGAATTGGCAAACCTTCCTCTTCCAATTCAAATAAATTAAATAATTTAAATA